GACCCCTCCTGCCGCCCATTCGCTAGCGCCCCGAGGTTCTCGGGTTGCCCCCAAAAACGCTGCAGGACCATCGGCGATGAGGTTAGCGATGTCATAGCAGAAGTCGGCGAAGATGTTGCCGAGGTAGCTGCGCACTCGTCTTGGACCGGGAAAGTTAGCCCAGGTAGCTTTGGAACAGGAAGCCAACGGCGGCGATAGCAGTATGGCGTCAAACTTAGCAACTATCCTTTCCAGGTAGCGTTGGCGAACCTTTGGAAGGCACAAGTTGTCCTTAGCGTTTCGTCTGACGTCGACGCAAAGGCGGTGCAGGTCTAGCGACCACTGTGCCGCCAACCGTTGGAGGCATGACGACATGTCTAGCTTGCGTGCTCAGGGCACCTTTAGCGAGCGTCGGGTGGCTGGGGAAGCCACGGGGCACCTGCGGTGGCCCCGACAGGCCAGTGAAAAAAAACACCAAGCTAAACGGCATGGTGTCATACGTCGTGCATCACAGTGTGTCACATCTTACAAGCTATACTGGCTTGGCAAACTGTAGCCACCTGGTAGCCACAGGCTGCTCATCGTGCACAATCTGTATCGCTCTCTGGCTCACAAACACAGAACTTGGTTCATGCCAATTTGATCTCGCCATCTACGTCAGGACAACATGTGTAGACCACATGTACAATGCCGGCATGGTACGGATCCCATATTGGAATGACGTGCCACGCGACCATCGCTGAAACAATGATGCCCGCACTGAGCCCATGCCCAAAACCGCAAGGAGACACGAGAAACATGCCGGTTGCAAGTAGCGGGTGCTGCCACGGCTGCAACTTGGCACAGAAGGCGAGCGACTCCGTAGCACGCAGCGTCGCCTTGTACATGGCGTGCGAATACGAGAAAGGCGGTCTTGATTTTTTTGCTGCATCATGCCGGCGCAATTGGCAAAAGGGGGTAGCCGATGGCTCGGCTAGATCGTTGTCGCAGGAGGGGGATGTGCATCGACAGTCGCTGCACCGGAAAGCACGGGCAGCGGCGGGGCGGACCACCGAAGCACGGAGGCACAGATGCATGCTCTGTTACAGTGGTGGGAGCAGCAGACCGCGCACACCGCGCGGGGCAGCGCGGAAAGGTTTTTTTGCGTACCACCCGCCGCCGGCTTCTGTATGCCCAACACGGCGAGGCGGCAGCGGCCGAAGTTGCAGAAATTTTGATAAGTGTGCTCCATGGCCTGCCGCATGAAGACGAGGGTGGCCCCGGTTTTATACGTCAACACCCCATCGAAACATGGACAAACATGCCTAACCAAAGGTCCACATTCCCTCGCTTGCCGAGTTGCACAAGCAAATGGTTAGGCACGAATAGCAAGGCCTCTTGCTTCGGATGGGGGAACACTATGGATAATCAAGCAAAATTTCCTCGTTTGCATTTTTCGTCTCACGTTGTTCATCCAAGAATCTGCCTCCTTCCAGACAACCAAATTGCAAATTCTATAACGGTTGCAAGCCTTGGCAACACGGCACGAGCGCCAAGACGCTACAGGCCGCAACCGCTAAAGGAGGCCGGCGTTGCATAGGGGAAAGGACGGGTGCGCTAAAAGAAAATGCGAAGACAACGCGAAGGCTCAAGCCCGAAATTGTTAACGTCCGCACAACATGTCCCACTGTGGGTAACCACCTAGCCCGACACTATATTGTGCTGGATGTGTCCTTCAGCGTTATCCGGATTTTATTTCGGTAGCTGGTGGAGTCCCCGGGAAGCGTTGAACCCTGCAAACCCCAAATTTGTAGATCTTGAATCATTAGTTGGATTTAGTTGGAGGGTTGGGCCCAAAAGATTTTCTGTCGGCCGGGTTCCCGACCCTGCAAGCATCTTCGGGGTGCGCATGCGCACACACACACACACAGTTTCTGGAAAATGACATCCTACGAGCTCGGTGTTGGGCTCATAAGACTTTATTTTTTAGCTTGAGTTCTATGCAAACCGGAACACCCAGACACAGGTGTTCCAAGAGATCATTCAGAATTCCGGAATGCTGCACGCATCCGGGAGGTCTCGCAAAACCTGTAGAACCTGTAAAGAAAACCTCTTGCTGGCTCTGAAGGGAATTCACTCTCGCACAACCACGGGCTATGTTTTCCTGTTTGCAAAGTTTTTTCTACCGCACATCTTTTCCGACGGTGACCGCGGTCCCAATATGCACGAACGCTACGAGCTGACAGCCTACGGGCCACCGGAAGGAGCCGGCAGGCGGCTTGCGATCTGCAGGGGGGCCACGGGCCTCGGCGAGGACCTCGTGGAGGTCGGGCGCCTTTCCCGCGTCGCATATGTCGCCACCGTGCGGCAGCTCAAGCAGGCGCATGGCAGGCACAGCGAGGAAACCCGACCACCGCTCCTTCTCCCTCACCCAGGCCAGCTGAAACGAAGTGCGAGATAGGTTGCTTCTGGGTTTTCGTTCTGCCTGGGTTAGTCCTCCAGCGGCTCGAAGCCACGGAATGACATCCCCACGTTCACTCGGCGTCTCCAACAACGCGGCTGGGATGAAGGTGGGGCCCGCGGCGGACAGCTCGGCGAGGTGTATTGTACTAAGAGCTGCCCCAGAGCGAGCCATCCAGTGGGTCCACACATGGGCATGCGTGGGAGCGGAAAACAGGGAGCGCAGCAAGGGTGGAACTAATTTTAAACGCTTCGCGTCGTCCGCCTCGGCCCGGCTGTGCTTGAAGCAGGTGCATGGAAGCAGCAACCCGAAGGCCTACCCAGGCTCATCGGCCTACAACCCGAAACTCTAAACCGCAAACCCAGAAGCCTAAACCTTAAACCCGAAACCCTGAACCCGCAGCGTAGATAGGGAGGAAGCACAGCCCCTGATGCAAGCCTGAAGCTAGCATGCCATAGCATTGGACGGTCAGGCGAGAGCAGCAGGGGCAACCGAAAAGTTGACATTGTTGGAAGGCGGGGGCTAGAAAGGGGGGGCGGGGCAGGGGAAAAGGTATGTGAAACTGCCCGACACATTGTGGAAGAAACGAAATTCCACCGTGAGAGCTTGGGACTCATCCAGCGGTTCAGGGTGTCAGGAAGGGTCGGTTTGGAGGGTTAGTGGGGAGGGGAAGGTGGGGGACAGAGAGAATCCGTACAGGAACCTCGGACCGCTTCGGCCGGGGCCGAGGTGAATTTTACAGCGGGGCTTGCTCTGGACTCGAGCTGCGACACCTGAAGTCTCGGCACTGCTTTTAGCGATCAGCTTTGCTTTTGTTTGGCCAGGGCTTCTTCGAAGTCAAGTTTCCTGGCTGTCAGGTCTGACGCCCCTGCAAGGGAAGCGAAAAGGACCATGGTTTAGCGATGGCTCCTGCGCGCCTTGCCGCTCGCGCACAAAGGCACGGCATCTTCGAGCACTCCCCACGCACGAGGGCTTCGTAGCGCAGCGCCAGTTCAGGAAGTCAGATGTGCGATTCGCCCGCGGTACGGTGGAAAAACATGCGGGGCATGAACAAGAAAGGAGGAGGAGCTTCCAGCCCCGGAGTTGTCATCCGTCGCCCAGCATCAGCGTATCCGGCACGTCCGGCATGACAGGAGAAATGGCAGGATCTGCGTCGGCAGCCGGCACAGCCTCCGGGTTCGCGCGCCAACTGTCGATGTTCTCCCAACACTACCAACCACCGCACCCAGGCGCCGACGAGGACGCCCACTGACACCATGGGATGAAATGTTGCGAGCTTTCTGCAAGGTAAAGTTTCCTGAAACGCAATGTTGGATGTACGTAGCCGAAAGCAGTGCTTGGAAACGCAAAGCAAATGATTTCGTCAACGAGTTTTTCCACGCTGTACAGTGACAAATCTGGTTGAGTAAGTTTCCTCCTTCCCCGTGTCCTTCTTGGACGGTAGTCGTCAACGGACTCGGACGGGCGAAAGCGGATAACCCCGGGCCATCCCGGGCCCACGGCAGTGGGCGATGGCCCCGCAATTCACGGCGAGGAGGCCACCGCGAGTGATGATGCGGTGGACACACGCGAGCAGGCCGCCCACAATGCAGCTTGCCGCACTCCTCCCCTTGCCCCCCCATGCCCCCCCGTTGACATTCCGGCCGGGGCGGCCGACCCAATCAGTGACACGGATTCGCGAGTGTCGGAGTTGGCTTACCTCACGCCGCACCCGGCAGACGGCACGGGCGCGCCGCCTTGGCGAGTGCTGTGACGGCACCGTCGCGCCAACGGCACCCGATGCGTCGACGCCGAGGCGTGGCCAGGTACGGCGGTGCCCGTTCAACCGCTGCCAAGCAGCTCCAAGCTCTGCGACGTCAGCTAAGCTGCTGCTGTGTGGTATGTAGCGCGGCTATTGCGCGGCTGATGCGGATGCCGAGCCGGGAGCGGCTACAGAGGATTGCAAGCACGTGTGCTATGCTGGTTAGCCCCATCACCGCGGCGGAGGACCCACACACACGAGCAGACCACTGCTGGTCCGCGTCCGGGCCCTCCGTGCGCCGCCGGCCCTTCGAGCTGCCGCCTCCTTTGCCTGGTGGACTGCGGTGCAGCACGCCGTTGGCGCCACGGGTGTAAGAGAACCGTGGCTGGTCTCCAACGGCGCCTTGGGGTACGAGCCTGCCTCATCCCAGCTCAAGCTCCATTCAAAGGCGACAGGATTTGTAGCTTAGTCCGGGCTTGTTTCGGGAGCACTTGGCTACAGGCGACTTGGAGCGTCACATGCAGCGTCGGAACAGTCTCAGATGCGGCCGTCCCTACTTCCATTTCGGAAAGGTCCACGCGCAGCAGGAGTGTCGGGAAAACAGGCTAAAGCGTGCATGCATGATTGATGCCGCTTTCTCCATGACACATCGCGGCTTCTCCTGATATCTTTGCCAGGAGCTGTAGAGCTCACATGAACCCTGCAGAAGAACGGCACCAACTCCTGCTCTTGGGCGCTCTTGGACATTACTGACTTTGCTGAGGGTATAATCTACAGGGGCGTCAGTTTTTGACATCCCTCGGGCCTCGCATGGCCTGGTGTCACGCTCACTCAGCCAACTCAGACACCGTAAGGGAGCTCGTTTCGAAGAACAGCCCTCCAACCTTTCAGGCCGACAGTTTCGAAGTGCTGTCGATGATGCGGTATGTGCCGCATCTGCACTCGGGCCACCGCTTTTCAAAAGGTCAGGGTCCTTCTTTATGTGCTGTGGGAGATAATCCTGCCAAGTGACTGCAGTCACCAATCGCATGCCCCAACCAAGCGCGCTCATCGCACTACCCCCAGCAAAATGGAAATGGGATGGATTGCACTGACTGGTTGTTGCACTTCTGCATGGAAGGCTTTAGAGGCTTGGACTATGATTCCGTTTTACGAATACCTTGAAGTTGAAAAGTTGTGTTTTGCGGCTGAGGGCCCCCAAACCCACAGGCCATCACAGGCCCACAGGCTGGCTCCACCAGGGCGGTTCTCTGTTCCGCGTCTTTCAGCGATGCATCCGCACCGGCCAGGATCAGGGCCTGGGCACTGTCTTTGCAGTTTTGTACCCGAGCCATCGCCATAGCATCCCACCTTGAAGACGTCGAGATCGCCGGATATGGCAGCGTAGTGAAGCGGAGTTGCACCGTCCTGAAATTCGCACATTGACCTGACTCACTGACCACACTTCACACCATTCAGCTCCTCGTCTTCAGCATCCAGCGCGGCACGCGAATCCAGCAACGCCATGACGCAAGTCCTTTCAAGTGGCCGGCCAAACGAGTCGAGGCTTTGGCAAGTCTCCCAAACCTTGGGGCCGCGCAGGTGGCCTCCTTTAGCGGCATGCATCAGGGCCGTCAAGCCCAGGCAACTCAGCACATCGCTGTCACTCGGATTTGCTGGTCGCACCACTTGGAATGCGTGACGGATGATTCCGAATGATCCAGGAAGCACACTTTTCTGCAACGCCGCGTTTTACAGCGCTGCTTGACACCGCCCTGGGTTTGCAAGCACTCATGTGCTTCACAGCTATTCGAAAAGCATGCAGAGGCCTTGCCTTATCTCGGTTGCTGCCCCGGCATCGAGCGCCTGCCCGATCTTCAGCACGCTGTCAGCTTATGCAGCTGATATTGCGAAGTGCCGCGCTTGCACTGCTGGAATCAGTTCATGAGCACCTCTCTCACCAAGACAGGATCTCCTTCGCAGGCGCCCTTCAGCAGCCTCATACAAACCGAAAGGGGCTGACGAAAGTGCGGCGGGTAGTTGAGCGTTCTTGCAGGAGATTGCACAGATGTCGCGGACATCTGAAAATCCTTGCTCACCCATTGTCGGGATCTAAATGTACAACGGATTCTGCTCTGCAGCTAGAGACGTTAAGCTGGACAACTCGTGCCCACATCGTGGTTAGGAGGAGTCACACCACAGATTTTGCAAGTGCGGATCAATGCAGGAGCATGGCCCTAACCCTCAGGTAATGAGCTTGTGTTGTCTTGGGTCACAGGGAATTGCTTCCGGCCTCCACAAGGCCTTCCGCGACCTAACTAGCGACTTGAAAAGTGCCGGCAATCTTCTGTGGCTTTTGTGGACGGTACTGGTAGCAGCAGCTTCAGATTCAATCAGTATTGGGTTCCTAGACGGGCGAGCCGGTGCCTCTGCAATTACCGTTACAAGGCTATTTCAACAAGACGCCGCAGTAAACTGTTTTCACTGCGAGCTTTGATCTTGGCGCCTCATTTGACACATTGTACATTGTGCCGTTGCTACCGAAAGGCAGCCCGGTAGTGTTCTGTATCTTGCAAAGTTTTAAAGAGAACTTCATGCCGGGATACTCGTCGTCAAACCTCAGCCGTTCCTCGAACGAGCTGTTGCCCATGTTTGCTATCCAGCTAATGCTTGCCGATTGGCACCGTTTGCTTGAGATGACAAGCACCCTGGAGAAGCCCCTACACGGCAATGTGCCGCTTGCTGCTGCGACAGGAAACCAAGACCTCTATCTCAGGTTTCGTTTCGTTCGGGAAGAAATGCGTCGACATGACGACGCTACTGTCCAACACAAACTTGTTTTTTTTTTTTTTGAACCCTCTTTTCCTTCTGCCCGGGAGGTTAGTCGGAACACCAGGTTGGCGGTGTTGGATCGCCGATCAGAACAGCAGAATTGCAGTTCAGGGTTTTTTTTAGCTGAGCTTGCCGCGCGGAGTTCCAGCCTGATGCAGATGCAGGTACCAGGGGCCTCAGTCCCAAACAACCCTGCAGATGGCATATGATGGCAGCAGCACGAGCAGCAGACCCGAGACCGCGAGAGTTGTCAGCCCAGAACGCCTCGACGGCGTGAAACGAGTGCCCACTCTTCGATCCCAAGCCAAAAACAAGAACTCCAGCGACACGACAATCCCGGCGACGTCCACGATGCCTCTCGGCAAAGTTCCTCACGACCACACGGCCTGCACAAGAACATCTGCAGAAGCCGGATTCCGCCACGGGCCTTGCCTACACAAGCCAAAGTCGTCTGCCGACCCAACAGTACCTCAGCCCGAGGTTTCTAAGACCGCTGTCCGTGCAGCGGAAGCTCACGGCTAAGTCACCGGCCCATGGCCGAAGCCACGTGCACCCGGTCGGCGGATACCGGCGTCCCAGTGAGCCCAAACAGCTGAAATCAATACTCCCTCACTACCAAAGAATCTGACTTCAGCTTCATCACCCGCGCAGCCTGATTTTTTTTTTCTAGACACGAACCAGAGCTTCTCCAGCGATCCGCACGCGACCGTGCTGTCTGCGCCAAGTCTGGCTGTACCCCATCAGCATGAAGCAGTTGGCCTGTCTGCTCTTCGCAGCGAGGATTCGTGGCGCTGTCGAGAGCTGAGAGGCCCACATACATGGCCAAGCTGGTCACCAGTGACACCCTGCAAACCAAATGCCGACAGCCGAGTCTTCTGGAAAGCGGCAGCAAGCTGAGTCATTGAGGGAAGGACCACACGCACCAGACCACGAAGACAGCAACGTTGGCTCTCACCGGGTCTCGCTTTGAGTGCGGTAGGAAATGCCATTCTGCGAAAACACCTGAGTTGAGTGCCCACAATCGGATCCGGCAATTGCGGAAAGGATGGCTCGCATGCACATCGCATACACAGGTCTTTGGATAAGGAACTGAAAGCAGCATAGAGCAACATGACAAGGGAAAGGAACCAGCCCGCATGCATTCGAACTGAGGCCTGCAAACAGGCCACCAGGCTTACAGGTTTGTTGCAATGCTGACAAGGCCGCACAAAATGCCAAAAGCTTAAAGCGCATCTGCAGTGCCTCGTAGGGACAGAGATAGTCGTCGTGCTGAGGGCCCTTTGAGCAGAGCTGCAGCCAGGCAAAGGCAGAGGCAGCGCATCCAATCCCACCGCTCAGGCCCAGTACCTCAGAGACTCACACTGTGATCCACCCAAACATCATTCGCGTATTCGCAGACTCCAGATAAGCCCGTCACCCAGTAGCGCAGCCTGGCCGGTGCCGAGCAGAACCAGGCGATGCCGAAAGGGAAGGCCAGGCAGACGTGCAGCCACGGCAAAGAGGGGCTCCTTGGCTCAGGCTCTGTCGCCGTTAGCCACCTGGCTCCTGGAGGCCAAGTGTCGAAACCAGTCGCAGGAAGCTGCAGCAGCGCTCGAGGCTTCGGCCTGACGTGCACGAGCGGCGGGGCATGACTCACTAGCTTAATGGTGCAAGACAGGGACCGGAACAGCAAGCCCTGCCGATGCGTTGAAACTCCTGAATCTGATTCATATGATGCTGTGATGCTGGCGGCACTCCTGCAAATGCGCTCTGCACTGTCCTGCACGAAGGTCGCACACCTGCTAGCCATCTGCTGCCAGGAGAAGTCACGCAAGGCGATGCTGGAATGCTTCCTTACGAGAGCACCCCGCGAGCTCACAACATCTCGCAACATTGCAACAGTACTTGAATCTCAACCTAAAGAGAGCTGGTTTGCGGCTGAAATGCACTAGAGGCATCAGCGGTGGCACCACCAAAATCCCCACAAGCCACCAGGCGACCTAGCGCGACGACGTGAGCACGCCGATTTCTGCAGAGTGGCCGCGCTCCAAGTGCTGCTAAGACCGCCACGGGCGCTGCCTTGCGGTCACACGAGTGAGACACGAGTCCACACGCGACGAAATGACCAACGCCGAGATGCGCTGGGACCGATAGAGGCAGCGCGGATAAGGCAGCCACACATTGCAGAGATGAGCGGTGCCATCCACAAATGAAGCCACAGGAGGAACACGACGGCCTGAAACGGAATGAATGAATCGCGTGGCTGCAGGCATGATCTCATCCAGGCATACCACCTTCGTGTTGGGGTCGGTCGCCGAGATGTGGAAAGGCCGTAGAACCGTGTAGCTGGGAGGAGTCCCAGAGTAGGGGAAGGATACCAAGACGACCACCATCCTCTGAAAGATGCAAGTGAAGCAAACGATTTCTGCTTCACATCGAGCTTCGGGACAAAAGAACGAAACAAATCGGACGGACTGGCAACCAGGTGCGGAGCTCCGGTCTGCCCGAAAAGGACCCCAAGCTGGAAAGAAATGACAGCTCCCGCAGCGAGCGGCTGCATTTTGGCCAAGCGTCTCGAGCAGCAAGGTCAACAAGCAGAGTGCCTCAGTCCGAAAAGAAAAAACCAAAGTTTTGCGAAGCCCGAAGCCCCGGGCCAGCACAGTACTTGCCATCCAGCAGGAGCTCTTTCGGCAAGCCTGAAAGCGCCGCATCACATGTGTCACGTATGCTTCAGCGCCGGGCTGCGCCGGGCCTGCACTAGAACGCCGGCCACTAACTCGGCACTGGCCAAAAGAACGAAAAGCAGCCAGGTGCTGAGGAACATCACGAACAGCACCTCTGACACCGAGGCACAAACGCCACTTCTGTATACGTCATTGTCACATGATGTCACATGGCCTGCCGCGCGCTCAGCCTGGAGTCTCGCATCTCCGAGCGCACGCTGCGGCAGTGGGCCTCCACGGGAGGAAAGCAGAGCCTAACGAAAACTTGGGGCCGAGTGCTCAGCCTGTAGACATTCGCAAAGATTGGCTGGCTGGTGCTCTGCCTGGTAGGGCTCGCCACACCTCGGCATCGCAGCCCGGCCAAGTGCGCCCGGCTACGTACAGCCTGCAGTGAGCAGCCGGCAGATCGCAGCAGATTCGTGGCTGAACACTATCACCACCCTGCAGGCAGGGCCACAGAACCCATGCCAACCTCTACTCCGCCGGGCCTGCATCTCCGAGCGCATCCTTTGCTCTTGCCTCGCAGCAACCCAGGACTCGATGCAGCTCCTTGGCTGAGGGCTGTGCGCGTCTGTGCCAGACGCTTCGCATCAATTCGCACCGGCGACTTCTCTCCAAGCGGCGCGTGCACTCCACGCATGCTCCCGCGGCAGCGGCACGGTGCCACCAAGGGCTCGGCCCTGGAAGGCAAAAGCATGTTGGGCCATGTTGGGCCTTGCGTGGTATTGCCCCCCCCCCCATCCCCCGGCCTGTCCGGATCTCTGCAGATCCAGCAGAGGGCTTCGTCGCTAGCTTGGCGCTCGACAGCGCCCTCGGCCATGTTGTTGAGCTCCACGGTGAGTCTGTCTGCGGCCATTGGCCGCGAACGCGGGGAACATTCTCAGCGCTAGGCCATGGCTCCCAAGTCACTGAAACTCTCGCCAACGGGTTTCACTCTCGTCTTGCTCGAGAGTCACTACCTTCTGTTTCAGTAGGTTTCAACACTGCATGACCGCTCGACACCCGCGTGCATCCAGCCCCAAAGGCTTGATTGATGCCTTGCTGTCTTGCAGAGCTCACTAGCTCAGAAACCTCATGCGATCAAGCTAGCGAGCCTTCTACCAGGCCAGTGTACGCTGCTCGCAGAGCTTGGTCATCCGACTTCGCCCCTTAAAATGAGCCTGAAGCGGAAGTGACTGAGACGATGCAGCCGTTCCACAATGCGGGAGCAAGCCACACAGCAGGAAATCAAAAAGCCACAGTAAATGAGCAGAAGAAGGGACGAACGATACACAACTTAATACTTATATATTATATACTCTAAGTTCCAAGCTAGTCTGTCACTCACAAGTGCTGCGGTAAAGTGCACATGCAAGCTCAGAGCGGCGGGCTTTTCCCTTCCCAAGCAGACAGCCGAAACACTGAAACGCGGGCACCCGCCACGCCTCCAGGATCTAGCTTCTCAGCCCTCAGTATGCAAATCCCAGAGCCGCTAGTGTAACATGTGTCGAGAACCTGCAATGCACAATTTCTGGAACATGCAGACATTCGTTCCACGTGCACGCTGAGCTGCATGGCTTCCAAGCTTTTCGCGACTTCTGAGTCTATCCTCAGTCCAGTCTGGTTCCAATGATTGGGCTTTACGGGGGAGCTTGGATTGCACCAAAGACACTTCCTGCATTTCAAGGCTCTGTGGCGGGTGGGTCATGAGAATTCCAGAGCTCTGCAGCGAAGTCAAGCCGGATGTCTCAAACCCAAATTCCACGACCAGTGCATCCCCCTGCACCTGACTGCCGCGAACACTGGAACACCCTGGGCTGTGCCTCCGGACCGGTCCGAAGCAGTCAGCCCGTGGCAGTCGCTCTTCAGCATCTTCTTTAACAGTAACAGCGGTCGCAGTCAACCGAAAACTTACCTTCCTATCTTGCTCCTAGGCCAGCTCCAGTTCTACATTCATGCATCTGGTCATCGTGTCTATTATTTCTTGCGCTCGAGCTTCCCTCCCAGTTGTTTCTGGTGCTTGGCGTTTGCTACTTGATCCCGACGCGACGTCCAGCGACATAGACATGGTCCCCTCCAACTTCCATCATCCCGTCACACATGTTCCTTCTGGTTGTCATGGGCAGTCTATGGCCTGCGGAGCCCGGAAAAGCCTGCAAAACGGAACCAAGCCGAGCTGAGCTTGGAAGAGGTGAAAGGAAATCCGGTAAAGGCTACTCACAACATGGTCGAGAACACTCAGAGAGAAAGAGAGGTTCCGACAGACAAACGGACACATGTCCGGAATTGGGCGGCCCAAGGAAAGCAACCGACAAGAGCAGAACATCAACGTTAACATTAACATTCTCGATCGGACACAGGAAAACCCAAGACAGCTCACTCACCACTTGAGACATGAATGCTCGCCTGGGTCCGTAAGATAGTGAGAAAGTCTTCGGTACGGCTTCCTACTGCTACACTGGACCGTTCCAATGAGCTGCCTTGGTCAGCTGTGCGATCCGTTGATAAAAGGGTGCAATGTCAACGCCATCCAGCAACGGATACCACACGGCGCAGCAGGCTTCCTCGCGAAGCGGTGCGAAAATTGTTACTCGCAGTCACCTACCCAGCTCCAGGAAGGCAGGAAGGGAAACTTTCTGGTTCCGCCGGGTCCCGCTCCTTTGCAAGGAGCTCTTCGAGCAGCACCAGATTGCAGGCCATGGAAACATCGTAGGGCTCCTCAGCTCTGGAAATCACTCAAATCCCCACGTCCCGTTCTCTTTTTTCTGCGGATTTCACTTTCTTCGCCTGCATTGCTGATAATGCCAGGAGTCGTAGGGCGGATCCACGAATACGAGGCTTCTTTTGGAAAGGGTTGCAAGGTGGTCCAGGATCCAGGAATATGAGTTGGCACAGCGCAGCTCGACTGAGGACGCCTTTGACGTGCTAGCCAAGCTGTCGAAGAAACTCTGTAGCTCTGCAGACACGGGCTCCTCAGCTCTGGCGATGCACTAAACGCGCATCCAAGCCCAAGCCCTGCAAGCTGATCTGAGGCAGGCTTCCGAGAGCTCGAAGAAGAGGCCGCGGTCTTGCGGCCGAAGCCACTGCAGCGCAATGGCCGGCGATCCCAAGTAGAAACGAAGAGGAAGAGGTTGGAAGTCACGATCCAGAAAGCCTCAACAAACTGAGTGTCTTTCTACGGATTCCCAGCAACCGCAACCTGTTGGGGCTGGTAGTATTTCTCGGGTATTCTTCTGTTGCTGTGGAAGAAGCCACGCTGTGTGCAGACGAAAGCATCCAAAAGAGCATCGGAGGCAGATGCAGCTTCTGCCAGTTGCCTTAGGGGAGGAGGGTTCTTCCAGCCTGCTTGTCCGTTCAGCGCAGCTCTTGCAGCGAAGCGTCTGAACTCCCCATTTGGAGGCATTCCTGAGCATGGGCACCTCCTGAGTGAGGTCGTAGAGACCTGGCAGGAGCTGATCCCGTTTTCGCTGTATATGCCTTACCAGTGCTAGGCCATGCAAAGTTCCTTGCCTCTGCCAGCGTGCGTGTCGATCAACAGGAAGGGGTCGCCATCTCTGACCATGCGCTGCAGAAGACAAATGAGAACGATATGCTTGAAGCAGTCCACCGAACTTCCTGCTTGCACTGAGTGATCATAAGCTGCGATGGTGAAGCTGTCTGCAGACCTGACGGGGGGGTGTAGCCGTGGCTGTACCCGTGGACTGTTCCAGCTTTGGCCCGAGGAGCTGCAGGGACGCTCGCATGAGCTCGCTGACGAGGGTCCACTCTTCAGCAGCCGAGCAAGCCTCGATGGCGGCGTTGTAGCAGATGGCGTCGGCTCTCCTCAATTCCGAGCTCCGTCGCGTGCGAACCGAACCTCACTCTCACAGCGAAGCCGAGCTGCAAGTTGCTCCGCGCCAACTGGGAGAACAGGACCAAGGCATGCTCCCATTGCATGCCCTTCTCACATGCACTCATTGCCGAGCTGCAGGTGATCCTCTTGGAGACAAGACTTCAAAAGACGCAAGCAAACAAACGAAGCGCGTTTTGTCGGTAGGCCAAGGGACAGGTCGAATTGCACGCGTTCCACTTGCATTGCATTGAGAATCACCAAGGCCTGAGTTTTGAAAGGGTGGAGTTTTCTTTTATGTGTGCTGAGAGCAGACTTGGGCTGCCGCGTGTTCCCAACGTCCTGTGTTCCCCAAGGGACTTAAGGCTGCGTTGTAGACCGCCCTTAGCGACCAAAAGTCGTCTCTGTAAGTACTGCTCATCAGCCGTACTTACACGCTCTCCTCCTCTCCCGAGCTGCCGAGCTGTCGATGCAGACTTCGATCGCAGATCTCCAAGGATCGTCAGCGCCACCTGGGAGACCCCCCAAACCGCTCTGCCCTGGAGGCGTCCAAGCAGTGAACACCTCCCAGAGAGCAGCGACGGCAGAGGCCGTCAAAACGGAGGTGTGGGTCGCGACCTGGCGCCGCGAAGCAGCGGGGTTGGTGAGTTCGGATGTCATGGGAACTTGACTGACCGAGACCAGAACGCTCTGCTCGATCTGTTCTCGATGCCTGACCGATCCAGCCGCCGCCGCCCCCTCATCAGCCCTCGACTGATTCGGCACCAAGGCACATCCGCGCCATCAGGGCCAGTCCGGCTTCCCATTGTCCCGAGCCGGCACAGGCGTTGATGGCGGCGTTGCAGATGACGGTGTCAAACTCCAAACCTCCGAGGAAACCCCAAAGCTCCCACAGCCCAGCTCCCCGGCGGAAGGCAGGGGCCTCGGAGCTCCGCGTCCCGAAGGAGCGCCAGAGCCAGGGCCCAGCCGCCCGCCGTCGCCCGGAGTGAGTCGATGGCCATGGTGTGAGTGACCAAACTGGGATGACTGGGCCCCTCAGCTAGAGCCTCAGCTCAGAGAGGCTGCGCCTGCACTTTTGCACTTCGGCGAGGGCCGAGGGGCTCTTAAGCATTGGCTCCACTGCGCGGCCGCGCTGCAAGCGGCCAGCACTGCTCGGTGCGTCAGCTCGTCCGCTTGGAGCTCTCGGCGGCGGCAGTCCTGCAGTAAATGCGTTGCTCTAGGGTTCAGGGTTGAACCCGTGATAAAGCAATGGCCATCCTCCAGCATGTCGATGACGCGCTGCCATTGCGACTGGAGACCACAGGCATTCATTGCGATGTTCTGGCTGGTGATGTCCGGCGTAAGTGGCTCCATCTGACACAAGACCTGGAGAGCATGCTGCCATCGGCCAGCCTCAGCGAGAACATGATTCCTGCACACATGGGCGGCAAGCTAGGTCAAGCCGGAGTCGCGAGGTGACACGCCTGGATAGCAGCATTGAAACCTCAGCTTCGCGAGTGAGTGCAGAAAGCTGAGAAGATAAAAATAAAAATGACCCGCCAAACTTCTCTGAATAAGTTCTTCAGTCGGTCCAGCCATGACTCACACCAGTAGTTGTTGTACAGTACCATGGCAGCAGCCCAGCGGCACGAGGCCGGACAGCATAGTAGCACTTGCAGCTGAAATTTACATCTTCCAAATCTCACAATACTGCGAAACAAGCAAGAGGCAGCCCACAGTGAGTGGAAGCGCATGCCTCGCCACATGGTCTGGTTACTCACAGGGATTCATCGGAAAGCAAAGGCCCTCTGGCCTGCTCTCCCAAAGAATAGACAGAGCTCCATCCCAGCGGGCCGCGTTTCCAAACCTCCGAATACGATCACAGCTCTTCGTTGACGCGGGAAATACTCAACTGTTCAGCTTGAACGCACGACGCACTACAAATGATGGGGGCAGCGCGCTGAAATCACTGCACCGACAGTCACGTGGTTGGGTGGTGTAGATAACTGCTGCATACATTCCTCAGGACACTTCCGCCACGAGCCGGACAAAAACGGTGCCGGCACCGCGGGATGACTCACATGCTCTCGAGAGTCCATACTGCTCAGGGCCAGGGCCCATTGCGCGGCTTTCGCCAATGCTGACACTGCTGCCGTCTGCGAAAAAACGCTCCTCAGGACTAAAACACTATCAACTCGTAGCTGCAGCCAGGATTGTGCTACCTGTATGTGTTTGCACACGGACCTTCTGAACACACTGGCTCCTCTGCACATTTAGAGACAGGTTGGAAAGCAGCAGAGCGTGCTCCCACCGTCCGGCTTTGCCACATGCGGAGGTGGCAGTCCCCAAAGTCACATCGTCCTTGGAGGGTTCTGTCGATGGCCCTTCGCTGACGCTTTGCCGCCTTGCGGCCCAGGCTCGGGCCGAAGCTCCATGGAGGCCATTGCTCCGATCAGCTGCAAAGCATAGACCCACCTCCCAAAGACAAAGAAGAGAGCCTCCAAGCACCTCCTTGTCCCCTGATGTCCCCTGGTTGCCTGCTTGCAGCTGCACATGCATTCAGGACGCAGTTGAAGCACTGGACGTCGAGGCGAACGCCTCGCGGCTTGCCGCCCCAAGGGCCCCAAAAACACTGTGACGTGGGCCCCTTGAGCCTTGTGAGCCTTGTGAGCCTTGTGAGCCAAGGGCCCGGGGCCAGGCCTTTGCTATGCGCCACATCGAGCACTTCCAACGCCGCCTGAAGCGCCAAAGATCCCCACTGTGCGCAGGCATACGCGGCAGGCGCAGAGCGAAGGATCGCTTGTTGGCTGCACAGGCGTGTGCAGAGCGCCTGCCATTGGATGCTGCTGCCACAAGCCTTGATGACTCCAGTGGAAGTCACCACATCCTGGGCACAAGAACTGCCTTGGCGGCCTTTAGTGCAGTCACAACATGAAGCTCGGATAGAAAAGACACATCCCACCTGCAAGATCAAGGCCTCGTGCATCTGCTGAAGTATTTCGACCCCAACCTGCCAGTTGTGAACCTGAGCTGGGCCCAAGTCAAGCGGCATGACAGATAGCATGCTTGCGAGTCGACAAAGCTAGAACAAAGGGAGGACGCAGTCTGTCCGAATTGCGCGAGGATGCGCAAGCGGCGATAGCAGCATTGAAGCTTATCGCATCGGCTTCAAGCAAATTCTGTGGGAGGTCAGCGAGTAGTGCCAGTGCGACATTCCACTCGCTGCATGAGCGGATTGCCTGGATTGCGTTGGTAACACTTAGTAGTGATTGCAGCACTGAGTTCGGCCCAGATGCAGAATTCAACACCACCAAGTTCGGCTGAAGAAAACGGCTCTCCATGTCTTCCAATGCCTTCAGCACCCACTCCTTGGCTGGTCTTGGTGCTCCTTCTGACGCGGGACCGCATCTGCAGACTCTGAATTCACCATTCCATGTCTCTCAGTGTCACTAAAGTGCGTCAGAAGCACCCATTGTGCATCAGCAGCAAGAGCTGAGATAGTACTACCATAGCTGACGACACTGGGCTGGATGATGCTGCTTATCATGGCATCGTGCAAGCCTGGCTAGGTGAGTCCATTGCAGAACATCTTGGGAAGGGAGAGCGAAGGAGAGAAAGATGCCCGCTGCCTATGGCAATCGGCCAGCGCTCTTCGCTTTTGCAGGCTTTGATGCAGCTGCTCCAGGCTGCGATGGAGGCGCGGGCGTCGGCGCCTTCCTGGAGCCGACTCAAGGCCTTGTTCGAGCACGACGTCTCCAAAACACACACACACACTCTCTCTCTCTCTCTCTCCCATTCTCTCTTTCCTCCCGGGCGCCTTCTGCCAGGCATGGCTCCGCCCCAAGGAGGTAATCTCAGCCACGGCCTGTCGTCCGTGATCGTGGACAGTGACAGGGGGGAGCTCCGCAAGCGACTGCGTCATGCGTGGAGCCGAAACTTGCATCTCAGAGGGAAAAAACTTCCGTTCTCAACAAGCTAAACAATGCGACATGAGCGTTGGACCTTCTCCCTTTCGGCATGATATGCTGTGTAGATTGAAATCATGACTGATGCAGGTTGGGCAGCTGGCTCTGTAGCTTTGCCGCTTTGGGTTCAGTCACCATCTTAAAGCCAAACAAAACAGTGAGTCTCACATATCTGATGAACAAGGCGTTCGGAATGTATCGATGACTCTGCTCAACGGTAAACGGACGATGATCAAAAGCAACCATCCCGCGGTGGCTGAACGACTTGGTGAATGCAGGAATTGCGTCTCGATCCCAGTCCCCGCGGCCCTCGAAGGAAAGGAGCCTTCAGATAATATCTTTTTCTAGAAACTTGGCACACCAGCGCTGCATGCCCGACTCCAAGCTATGTGAGACTGATGCCGTCAAGCCCCTCAAAACAGAGACGAGACGTCGTTCTGCACAGCTCCTGCAGGCAGGTGCTCGAACTTGGACAAAACTCCTTCTTGAAAGACAATCGACGACGGCAGTGTTGTGCTGTGTCGTGACAAACCACACGTCGAACTCGCAACCCGGTGCCAAGAACGAAGAACTGGCATGAAACTTAAGAATGGTATCCAGACCGACGTGTCATTCTCCTCCTGGAGCACTGGCAGTAGCTTGCCCGAAGGGCGCGAAGGTGGAAGCTCCACCAACTCCTAGAACATGGAGGAGGTGCGGGCTAACATCACACCAGTACAGTCACAGCGCTTGCAACATGCTTCAACCTTTAAGCAATAAACTTGCTGGCAGTCACAGAGGACACTCCGGCTACCAGCATGCTGCGAGGCCGGCGGTTGGACTTGTCGGGACCTATTACGCAGGACTTCGGGTACTAACACAGCTATGCCCTTCTGTATGCTGGCAGCGGAAGCCGCGCATGCGAGTTCTCTCGTGTGCGCTGCTGGGACTACGACTATGCTGCAGCCTCATGATGCATCCACTGAGCCTCTCCTTGGGTGCTCTCCCCGAACAGTGACGAGACATCGTTTGAAGTGGCTCCTGCAGACCGAAACTGGAGGGATAACAGGAACCAGACCTACTCTTGCATCGAGTATTATACGTCAACCACTCAACAGAAGCCTTCATCGGCCTCCCACCCTTGACTCTGGAGGTTTTCCTGGAGAAGCAGTGGCACCCTATCCAAAAGCTAGAACCACTCAAGATTGTGGCCACTACTCTCACAACGTGATGTCACGAACGAAGAACCCATCCAGCTTGCAGGAAACTTAAGAATGGTATCCAGACCGACGTGTCATTCTCCTCCTGGAGCACTGGCAGTAGCTTGCCCGAAGGGCGCGAAGATTGAAGTTCCACCAACTCCTGGAACATGGAGGAGGTGCGGGCTAACATCACACCAGTACAGCCACAGCGCTTGCAACATGCTTCAACCTTTAAGCAATAAACTTGCTGGCAGTCACAGAGGACACTCCGGCTACCAGCATGCTGCGAGGCCGGCGGTTGGACTTGTCGGGACCTCTTACGCAGGACTTCGGGTACTAACACAGCTATGCCCTTCTGTATGCTGGCAGCGGAAGCCGCGCATGCGAGTTCTCTCGTGTGCGCTGCTGGGACTACGACTATGCTGCAGCCTCATGATGCATCCACTGAGCCTCTCCTTGGGTGCTCTCCCCGAACAGTGACGAGACATCGTTTGAAGTGGCTCCTGCAGACCGAAACTGGAGGGATAACAGGAACCAGACCTACTCTTGCATCGAGTATTATACGTCAACCACTCAACAGAAGCCTTCATCGGCCTCCCACCCTTGACTCTGGAGGTTTTCCTGGAGAAGCAGTGGCACCCTATCCAAAAGCTAGAACCACTCAAGATTGTGGCCACTACTCTCACAACGTGATGTCACGAACGAAGAACCCATCCAGCTTGCAGGAAACTTAAGAATGGTATCCAGACCGACGTGTCATTCTCCTCCTGGAGCACTGGCAGTAGCTTGCCCGAAGGGCGCGAAGATTGAAGTTCCACCAACTCCTGGAATGCATGAGATGATGAGATGTGCACCCTGCGCAGTAAGAGTATCGTCGCACTGCTCGCACCAGGCTTTAAGACAGGGCGTGGTTTTTCCTTATTTTTGTCAAGTGTTTTTTCTTATGTTTTTTCCGTTTCCCTTGTTTGGCTAGGGATAGGGGTAGGTAGGGGTAGGGGGGGAGGGGATAGGGGTAGGGGTAGGGGTCGGGGTAGGGGTAGTGGGGGGTGGGCGGTGGGGGGTGGGGGGTGGGGGGGGCTGGGGGTGGGGGGTGGGGGTGGGTGGGGGGTTGGGGGTTGGGGGGGTGGGGGTGGGGGGGTAGGGGGTAGGGGTAGGGGTAGGGGTGAGGAAGAGCAAGTAGCAGTAGAAGTAGTAGTAGTAGTAGTCGTCGACGTCGTAGTAGTAGTAGGAGCAGCAGCAGGAGCAGCAGCAGCAGCGTTAGAAGAACTAGTAGTAGTAGTAGTAGTAGTAGTAGTAGTAGTAGTAGTAGTAGTAGTAGTAGTAGTAGTAGTAGTAGTAGTAGTAGTAGTAGTAGTGGTAGTAGTAGCAGCAGCAGCAGCAGTTTTTGTCACCCACCTAGCACGGCAGTAGTAGTAGTAGTAGTAGTAGTAGTAGTAGTAGTAGTAGTAGTAGTAGTAGTGGTAGTGGTAGTGGTAGTGGTAGTGGTAGTGGTAGTGGTAGTGGTAGTAGTAGTAGTAGTAGTAGTAGTAGTAGTAGTAGCAGGTAGTAGGTAGTAGGTAGTAGGTAGTAGGTAGTAGGTAGTAGGTAGTAGGTAGTAGGTATTTAGTAGGTAGTAGGTAGTAGGTAGTAGGTAGTAGGTAGTAGGTAGTAGGTAGTAGGTAGTAGGTAGCAGGTAGCAGGTAGTAGGTAGTAGGTAGTAGGTAGTAGTAACAGGAGGCTGCAACGATTCCATCCTTGCTTCCTTTCTTGCTTGCTTACTTCTTTGCTTACTTGCTTGCTTGCGTGTTTGCTTGCTTGCTTGCCTGCTTGCACACTTGCATGCTTGCTTGCTTGCTTGCTGGCTTGCTTGCTTGCTTGCCTGCTTGCACGCTTGCATGCTTGCTTGCTGGCTGGCTTGCTTGCTTGCTTGCCACGAGGAAAACGTGAAAGAAATAAGAAAAAAACTGAAAAATATGCAAAAAATACAGCCACGCTGGAACAGTCCTGGAGCATTCGCAGAGGTCTGCTCGAAGAGTGCCGGTGCGGACGGTCCTGTTCGGCGTAATTGCGAAAAAATAATTACCAGGTTCTGGAATTTCTTGAACTGAACGCAATTTCTTGACTTTGGCGTCACCACCCTATGCCCTATGGCTCCCGACCACTCAACTTCATCGCGCTCTCCTGCCGCACCGGCGCCGGAGGTAGCAGGGTCGGCCGTTGCTCCTGAATTAAATGTATTGAGCTGGGGAACCCGCACAAAGATTTGGGGGTCGTACTGCCGCAATGCCACTTCGATCCATGTTTCAGCATTGCTCTTAAGCGAAACTGTGAGGCTCTTGGACACAACAGACAGTGCATGTCATTCAATGTAGCTGCAACGGCAGTGATGCTACAAGCTACATCCCAACTACAAGCATTCAGGCAGTCGACAGACTGTATACTGCTTGGCACCATTAGCGCGAACATCTCCTGAAACGTCAACAGGCCCTCCCCTGCATAGTAAAGTCGCTCTCCTGAAGCACTCGCGGTCTGCCCGAAGAAGGAAGAAGCGCCAGCTGCTCCTGAACATTTTACGAGGGACAAAGCTTGCAGAATTGTCATCACACTTCAACATTATGCCGGGCGGCTAATTACACTCTTGTGCATCGTGCTGCACTGTCCCAACAAAGGATAGGTGTGATCCTGCATCGCCCTTGCTCATGCTGCACCATAGACTCAGTTGCCAAGCTGTCTGGCGCGCTGCTTCGAGCGGGAATCCTATCATGGATGTGTTCACCCATGCTCTCCTTGACTGCTTTCCCCGAAGAGCGAGGACACATCGCCAGAACTGGGTCCTGCAAGTCACAAATCAACGTGCTGATATTTTGCAGCTTCCGTGCCCAACCAACCTCGCTTGCGGCGTCGCACACACGCCAAATTCAGTGAATGTCAATGCCACATCATCTGTGACAAGTCTGGGACGGACTCTCTCAGAGGGATGCAAAAACGGACAGCGAATGCAGCGCATCGAGGAAACCTCTCCAACCACGGCTACCGAAACGCCCTCTTCCTACAGGGCTTTGGGCATGCTGCTGGGACAGTCCTGGAGCATTCGCAGAGGTCTGCTCGAAGAGTGCCGGTGCGGACGGTCCTGTTCGGCGTAATTGCGAAAAAATAATTACCAGGTTCTGGAATTTCTTGAACTGAACGCAATTTCTTGACTTTGGCGTCACCACCCTATGCCCTATGGCTCCCGACCACTCAACTTCATCGCGCTCTCCTGCCGCACCGGCGCCGGAGGTAGCAGGGTCGGCCGTTGCTCCTGAATTAAATGTATTGAGCTGGGGAACCCGCACAAAGATTTGGGGGTCGTACTGCCGCAATGCCACTTCGATCCATGTTTCAGCATTGCTCTTAAGCGAAACTGTGAGGCTCTTGGACACAACAGACAGTGCATGTCATTCAATGTAGCTGCAACGGCAGTGATGCTGCAAGCTACATCCCAACTACAAGCATTCAGGCAGTCGACAGACTGTATACTGCTTGGCACCATAAGCGCGAACATCTCCTGAAACGTCAACAGGCCCTCCCCTGCATAGTAAAGTCGCTCTCCTGAAGCACTCGCGGTCTGCCCGAAGAAGGAAGAAGCGCCAGCTGCTCCTGAACATTTCACGAGGGACAAAGCTTGCAGAATTGTCATCACACTTCAACATTATGCCGGGCGGCTAATTACACTCTTGTGCATCGTGCTGCACTGTCCCAACAAAGAATAGGTGTGATCCTGCATCGCCCTTGCTCATGCTGCACCATAGACTCAGTTGCCAAGCTGTCTGGCGCGCTGCTTCGAGCGGGAATCCTATCATGGATGTGTTCACCCATGCTCTCCTTGACTGCTTTCCCCGAAGAGCGAGGACACATCGCCAGAACTGGGTCCTGCAAGTCACAAATCAACGTGCTGATATTTTGCAGCTTCCGTGCCCAACCAACCTCGCTTGCGGCGTCGCACACACGCCAAATTCAGTGAATGTCAATGCCACATCTGTGACCAGTCTGGGACGGACTCTCTCAGAGGGACGCAAAAACGGACAGCGAATGCAGCGCATCGAGGAAACCTCTCCAACCACGGCTACCGAAACGCTCTCTTCCTACAGGGCTTTGGGCATGCTGCTGGGACAGTCCTGGAGCATTCGCAGAGGTCTGCTCGAAGAGTGCAGATGCGGACGGTCCTATTCGGTGTCATTGCGAATAGAATTCTACCAGGTTCTGGAATTTCTTGAACTGAACGCAAAGTCTTGACGTTGGCGTCCTTCATCTCGCTCTCCTGCCGCGGCAGCCGGGTCGGCTGTTACTCCTGGAGCAAATGTATTGAGCTGGGGAACCCGCACAACATAGATTTGGGGGGTCCTGCTGCCGCAATGCCACTTCGATCCATTTTTCAGCATTGCACTTAAGCGAAACTGTGAGGCTCTGACATGCTCTGGACACAACAGAGCGCTGCACGTAATTCAATGGAGCTGCGTCGCTAGTGATCCGACAGACTGTATACTGCTTGGCATCATTAGCAGGAGCACCTCTGTCTACATCAACAGGCCCTCCCTCGCATAGTAAAGCCGCTCTCCTGAAGCACTGGCCGCGGTCTGCCCGAAGAAGGAAGAAGCGCCAGCTGCTCCTGAACATTCCATGAGGGAATATGAGGGACAAAGCTTGCAAAATTGTCATCACACTTCGACATTATGCCGGGCGACTGATTACACTCTTGTGCATCGTGCTGCAGCACTGTCTCAACAAAGAAGACGCTGATCCTGCATCACCCTTGCTGCATGCCTCACACCATAGTCTCAGTTGCCAAGCTGTCTGGCGCGCTGCTTCGACCGAGAATCCTATCATCGATGTGCTCACCCAATGCTCTCCTTGACTGCTTTCCCCGAAGAGCGAGGACACATCGCCAGAACTGGGTCCTGCAAGTCACAAATCAACGTGCTGATATTTCGCAGCTTCCATCCCCAACCAACCTCATCGCTTGCGGCGCCGCATTCATGCCATGTTCAGTGAATGTCAATGCCACATCTGTGACAAGTCTGGGACGGACTCTCTCAGAGGGACGCAAAAACGGACAGCGAATGCAGCGCATCGAGGAAACCTCTCCAACCACGGCTACCGAAACGCTCTCTTCCTACAGTGCTTCGGGCATGCTGCTGGGACAGTCCTGGAGCATTCGCAGAGGTCTGCTCGAAGAGTGCAGATGCGGACGGTCCTATTCGGTGTCATTGCGAATAGAATTCTACCAGGTTCTGGAATTTCTTGAACTGAACGCAAAGTCTTGACGTTGGCGTCCTTCATCTCGCTCTCCTGCCGCGGCAGCCGGGTCGGCTGTTACTCCTGAAGCAAATGTATTGAGCTGGGGAACCCGCACAACATAGATTTGGGGGGTCCTGCTGCCGCAATGCCACTTCGATCCATTTTTCAACATTGCACTTAAGCGAAACTGTGAGGCTCTGACATGCTCTGGACACAACAGAGCGCTGCACGTAGTTCAATGGAGCTGCGTCGCTAGTGATCCGACAGACTGTATACTGCTTGGCATCATTAGCAGGAGCACCTCTACATCAACAGGCCCTCCATCAACAGGCCCTCCCTCGCATAGTAAAGCCACTCTCCTGAAGCACTCGCGGTCTGCCCGAAGAAGGAAGAAGCGCCAGCTGCTCCTGAACATTTCATGAGGGACAAGGCTTGCAACTTGCTGCATGCCGCAGCACAGACTCAGTGGCCAAGCTGTCTGGCACGCTGCTTCGACCGAGAATCCTATCATTGATGTGTTCACCCATGCTCTCCTTGACTGCTTTCCCCGAAGAGCGAGGACACATCGTCAGAACTGGGTCCTGCAAGTCACAAATCAACGTGCTGATATTTTGCAGCTTCCATCCCCAACCAACCTCGCTTGCGGCGCCGCACACATGCCATATTCAGTGAATGTCAATGCCACATCTGTGACAAGTCTGGGACGGACTCTCTCAGAGGGACGCAAAAACGGACAGCGAATGCAGCGCATCGAGGAAACCTCTCCAACCACGGCTACCGAAACGCGCTCTTCCTACAGGGCTTTAGGCATGCTGCTGGGACAGTCCTGGAGCATTCGCAGAGGTCTGCTCGAAGAGTGCCGGTGCGGACGGTCCTGTTCGGCGTAATTGCGAAAAAATAATTACCAGGTTCTGGAATTCTTGAACTGAACGCAAAGTCTTGACTTTGGCGTCACGACCCTATGCCCTATGGCTCTCGACCACTCAACTTCATCGCGCTCTCCTGCCGCACCGGCGCCGGAGGTAGCAGGGTCGGCCGCTGCTCCCGAATTAAATGTATTGAGCTGGGGAACCCGCACAAAGATTTGGGGGTCCTACTGCCGCAATGCCACTTCGATCCATGTTTCAGCATTGCTCTTAAGCGAAACTGTGAGGCTCTTGGACACAACAGACAGTGCATGTCATTCAATGTAGCTGCAACGGCAGTGATGCTACAAGCTACATCCCAACTACAAGCATTCAGGCAGTCGACAGACTGTATACTGCTTGGCACCATTAGCACGAACATCTCCTGAAACATCAACAGGCCCTCCCCTGCATAGTAAAGTCGCTCTCCTGAAGCACTCGCGGTCTGCCCGAAGAAGGAAGAAGCGCCAGCTGCTCCTGAACATTTCACGAGGGACAAAGCTTGCAGAATTGTCATCACACTTCGACATTATGCCAGGCGGCTAATCTGCACTGTCCCAACAAAGAATAGGTGTGATCCTGCATCGCCCTTGCTCATGCTGCACCATAGACTCACTTGCCAAGCTGTCTGGCGCGCTGCTTCGAGCGGGAATCCTATCATGGATGTGTTCACCCATGCTCTCCTTGACTGCTTTCCCCGAAGAGCGAGGACACATCGCCAGAACTGGGTCCTGCAAGTCACAGATCAACGTGCTGATATTTTGCAGCTTCCGTGCCCAACCAACCTCATCGCTTGCAGCGCCGCACACACGCCAAATTCAGTGAATGTCAATGCCACATCTGTGACAAGTCTGGGACGGACTCTCTCAGAGGGACGCAAAAACGGACAGCGAATGCAGCGCATCGAGGAAACCTCTCCAACCACGGCTACCGAAACGCGCTCTTCCTACAGGGCTTTAGGCATGCTGCTGGGACAGTCCTGGAGCATTCGCAGAGGTCTGCTCGAAGAGTGCCGGTGCGGACGGTCCTGTTCGGCGTAATTGCGAAAAAATAGTTACCAGGTTCTGGAATTTCTTGAACTGAACGCAAAGTCTTGACTTTGGCGTCACCACCCTATGCCCTATGGCTCCCGACCACTCAACTTCATCGCGCTCTCCTGCCGCACCGGCGCCGGAGGTAGCAGGGTCGGCCGTTGCTCCTGAATTAAATGTATTGAGCTGGGGAACCCGCACAAAGATTTGGGGGTCCTACTGCCGCAATGCCACTTCGATCCATGTTTCAGCATTGCTCTTAAGCGAAACTGTGAGGCTCTTGGACACAACAGACAGTGCATGTCATTCAATGTAGCTGCAACGGCAGTGATGCTACAAGCTACATCCCAACTACAAGCATTCAGGCAGTCGACAGACTGTATACTGCTTGGCACCATTAGCACGAACATCTCCTGAAACATCAACAGGCCCTCCCCTGCATAGTAAAGTCGCTCTCCTGAAGCACTGGCCGCGGTCTGCCCGAAGAAGGAAGAAGCGCCAGCTGCTCCTGAACATTTCACGAGGGACAAAGCTTGCAGAATTGTCATCACACTTCGACATTATGCCGGGCGGCTAATCTGCACTGTCCCAACAAAGAATAGGTGTGATCATGCATCGCCCTTGCTCATGCTGCACCATAGACTCACTTGCCAAGCTGTCTGGCGCGCTGCTTCGAGCGGGAATCCTATCATGGTCATGGATGTGTTCACCCATGCTCTCCTTGACTGCTTTCCCCGAAGAGCGAGGACACATCGTCAGAACTGGGTCCTGCAAGTCACAAATCAACGTGCTGATATTTTGCAGCTTCCATCCCCAACCAACCTCGCTTGCGGCGCCGCACACATGCCATATTCAGTGAATGTCAATGCCACATCTGTGACAAGTCTGGGACGGACTCTCTCAGAGGGACGCAAAAACGGACAGCGAATGCAGCGCATCGAGGAAACCTCTCCAACCACGGCTACCGAAACGCGCTCTTCCTACAGGGCTTTAGGCATGCTGCTGGGACAGTCCTGGAGCATTCGCAGAGGTCTGCTCGAAGAGTGCCGGTGCGGACGGTCCTGTTCGGCGTAATTGCGAAAAATAGTTACCAGGTTCTGGAATTTCTTGAACTGAACGCAAAGTCTTGACTTTGGCGTCACCACCCTATGCCCTATGGCTCCCGACCACTCAACTTCATCGCGCTCTCCTGCCGCACCGGCGCCGGAGGTAGCAGGGTCGGCCGTTGCTCCTGAATTAAATGTATTGAGCTGGGGAACCCGCACAAAGATTTGGGGGTCCTACTGCCGCAACGCCACTTCGATCCATGTTTCAGCATTGCTCTTAAGCGAAACTGTGAGGCTCTTGGACACAACAGACAGTGCATGTCATTCAATGTAGCTGCAACGGCAGTGATGCTGCAAGCTACATCCCAACTACAAGCATTCAGGCAGTCGACAGACTGTATACTGCTTGGCACCATAAGCGCGAACATCTCCTGAAACGTCAACAGGCCCTCCCCTGCATAGTAAAGTCGCTCTCCTGAAGCACTCGCGGTCTGCCCGAAGAAGGAAGAAGCGCCAGCTGCTCCTGAACATTTCACGAGGGACAAAGCTTGCAGAATTGTCATCACACTTCAACATTATGCCGGGCGGCTAATTACACTCTTGTGCATCGTGCTCCCAACAAAGAATAGGTGTGATCCTGCATCGCCCTTGCTCATGCTGCACCATAGACTCACTTGCCAAGCTGTCTGGCGCGCTGCTTCGAGCGGGAATCCTATCATGGATGTGTTCACCCATGCTCTCCTTGACTGCTTTCCCCGAAGAGCGAGGACACATCGCCAGAACTGGGTCCTGCAAGTCACAAATCAACGTGCTGATATTTTGCAGCTTCCGTGCCCAACCAACCTCGCTTGCAGCGCCGCACACACGCCAAATTCAGTGAATGTCAATGCCACATCTGTGACAAGTCTGGGACGGACTCTCTCAGAGGGACGCAAAAACGGACAGCGAATGCAGCGCATCGAGGAAACCTCTCCAACCACGGCTACCGAAACGCGCTCTTCCTACAGGGCTTTAGGCATGCTGCTGGGACAGTCCTGGAGCATTCGCAGAGGTCTGCTCGAAGAGTGCCGATGCGGACGGTCCTGTTCGGCGTAATTGCGAAAAAATAATTACCAGGTTCTGGAATTTCTTGAACTGAACGCAAAGTCTTGACTTTGGCGTCACCACCATATGCCCTATGGCTCCCGACCACTCAACTTCATCGCGCTCTCCTGCCGCACCGGCGCCGGAGGTAGCAGGGTCGGCCGTTGCTCCTGAATTAAATGTATTGAGCTGGGGAACCCGCACAAAGATTTGGGGGTCCTACTGCCGCAATGCCACTTCGATCCATGTTTCAGCATTGCTCTTAAGCGAAACTGTGAGGCTCTTGGACACAACAGACAGTGCATGTCATTCAATGTAGCTGCAACGGCAGTGATGCTACAAGCTACATCCCAACTACAAGCATTCAGGCAGTCGACAGACTGTATACTGCTTGGCACCATTAGCACGAACATCTCCTGAAACATCAACAGGCCCTCCCCTGCATAGTAAAGTCGCTCTCCTGAAGCACTGGCCGCGGTCTGCCCGAAGAAGGAAGAAGCGCCAGCTGCTCCTGAACATTTCACGAGGGACAAAGCTTGCAGAATTGTCATCACACTTCGACATTATGCCGGGCGGCTAATCTGCACTGTCCCAACAAAGAATAGGTGTGATCCTGCATAACCCTTGCTCATGCTGCACCATAGACTCACTTGCCAAGCTGTCTGGCGCGCTGCTTCGAGCGGGAATCCTATCATGGATGTGTTCACCCATGCTCTCCTTGACTGCTTTCCCCGAAGAGCGAGGACACATCGCCAGAACTGGGTCCTGCAAGTCACAAATCAACGTGCTGATATTTTGCAGCTTCCATCCCCAACCAACCTCGCTTGCGGAGCCGCACACATGCCATATTCAGTGAATGTCAATGCCACATCTGTGACAAGTCTGGGACGGGACGCAAAAACGGACAGCGAATGCAGCGCATCGAGGAAACCTCTCCAACCACGGCTACCGAAACGCTCTCTTCCTACAGGGCTTTGGGCATGCTGCTGGGACAGTCCTGGAGCATTCGCAGAGGTCTGCTCGAAGAGTGCCGGTGCGGACGGTCCTGTTCGGCGTAAATGCGAAAAAATAATTACCAGGTTCTGGAATTTCTTGAACTGAACGCAAAGTCTTGACTTTGGCGTCACCACCCTATGCCCTATGGCTCCCGACCACTCAACTTCATCGCGCTCTCCTGCCGCACCGGCGCCGGAGGTAGCAGGGTTGGCCGTTGCTCCTGAATTAAATGTATTGAGCTGGGGAACCCGCACAAAGATTTGGGGGTCCTACTGCCGCAATGCCACTTCGATCCAAGTTTCAGCATTGCTCTTAAGCGAAACTGTGAGGCTCTTGGACACAACAGACAGTGCATGTCATTCAATGTAGCTGCAACGGCAGCGATGCCACAAGCTACACCCCAACGGCAGTCGACAGACTGTATACTGCTTGGCACCATCAGCAGGAGCACCTCTTGAAACATCAAAAGGCCCTCCCCGCACAGTAAGGTCTCTCTCCTGAAACGCTGGCCGCGGTCTGCCCAAAGAAGGAAGAAGCGCCAGCTGCTCCTAAACGTTTCATGAAGGACAAAGCTTGCCAAATTGTCATCACATTTCGACCGTATGCCGGGCGACTGATTACACTCTTGTGCATCGTGCTGCAGCACTGTCTCAACAAAAAAGACGCTGATCCTGCATCACCCTTGCTGCATGCCGCAGCACAGACTCAGTTGCCAAGCCGTCTGGCGCGCAGCTGTTTCGACCGGGAATCCTATCATGGATGTGTTCACCCATGCTCTCCTTGACTGCTTTCCCCGAAGAGCGAGGACACACCGCCAGAACTGGGTCCTGCAAGTCACAAATCAACGTGCTGATATTTTGCAGCTTCCGTGCCCAACCAACCTCGCTTGCAGCGCCGCACACATGCCATATTCAGTGAATGTCAATGCCACATCTGTGACAAGTCTGGGACGGACTTTCTCGAGGGACGCAAGAAACGGACAGCGAATGCAGCGCATCGAGGAAACCTCTCCAACCACGGCTACCGAAACGCGCTCTTCCTACAGGGCTTTAGGCATGCTGCTGGGACAGTCCTGGAGCATTCGCAGAGGTCTGCTCGAAGAGTGCCGGTGCGGACGGTCCTGTTCGGCGTAATTGCGAAAAAATAATTACCAGGCTCTGGAATTTCTTGAACTGAACGCAAAGTCTTGACTTTGGCGTCACCACCCTATGCCCTATGGCTCCCGACCACTCAACTTCGTCGCGCTCTCCTGCCGCACCGGCGCCGGAGGCAGCAGGGTTGGCCGTTGCTCCTGAATTAAATGTATTGAGCTGGTGAACCCGCACAAAGATTTGGGGGTCCTACTGCCGCAATGCCACTTCGATCCAAGTTTCAGCATTGCTCTTAAGCGAAACTGTGAGGCTCTTGGACACAACAGACAGTGCATGTCATTCAATGTAGCTGCAACGGCAGCGATGCCACAAGCTACATCCCAACGGCAGTCGACAGACTGTATACTGCTTGGCACCATCAGCAGGAGCACCTCTTGAAACATCAAAAGGCCCTCCCCTGCACAGTAAGGTCTCTCTCCTGAAACGCTGGCCGCGGTCTGCCCAAAGAAGGAAGAAGCGCCAGCTGCTCCTAAAAGTTTCATGAAGGACAAAGCTTGCAAAATTGTCATCACATTTCGACAGTATGCCGGGCGACTGATTACACTCTTGTGCATCGTGCTGCAGCACTGTCTCAACAAAGAAGACGCTGATCCTGCATCACCCTTGCTGCATGCCGCAGCACAGACTCAGTTGCCAAGCCGTCTGGCGCGCTGCTGCTTCGACCGGGAATCCTATCATGGATGTGTTCACCCATGCTCACCTTGACTGCTTTCCCCGAAGAGCGAGGACACATCGCCAGAACTGGGTCCTGCAAGTCACAAATCAACGTGCTGATATTTTGCAGCTTCCGTGCCCAACCAACCTCGCTTGCGGCGCCGCACCCATGCCATATTCAGTGAATGTCAATGCCACATCTGTGACAAGTCTGGGACGGACTTTCTCGAGGGACGCAAAAAACGGACAGCGAATGCAGCGCATCGAGGAAACCTCTCCAACCACGGCTACCGAAACGCGCTCTTCCTACAGGGCTTTAGGCATGCTGCTGGGACAGTCCTGGAGCATTCGCAGAGGTCTGCTCGAAAAGTGCCGATGCGGACGGTCCTGTTCGGCGTAATTGCGATAAAATAATTACCAGGTTCTGGAATTTCTTGAACTCACTGAACGCAAAATCTTGACTTTGGCGTCACCACCATGCGCCCTATGGCTCCCGACCACTCAACTTCATCGCGCTCTCCTGCCGCACCGGCGCCGGAGGTAGCAGTGTCGGCCGTTGCTCCTGAATTAAATGTATTGAGCTGGGGAACCCGCACAAAGATTTGGGGGTCGTACTGCCGCAATGCCACTTCGATCCATGTTTCAGCATTGCTCTTAAGCGAAACTGTGAGGCTCTTGGACACAATAGACAGTGCATGTCATTCAATGTAGCTGCAACGGCAGTGATGCTACAAGCTACATCCCAACTACAAGCATTCAGGCAGTCGACAGACTGTATACTGCTTGGCACCATTAGCACGAACATCTCCTGAAACATCAACAGGCCCTCCCCTGCATAGTAAAGTCGCTCTCCTGAAGCACTGGCCGCGGTGTGCCCGAAGAAGGAAGAAGCGCCAGCTGCTCCTGAACATTTCACGAGGGACAAAGCTTGCAAAATTGTCATCACACTTCGACATTATGCCGGGCGGCTAATCTGCACTGTCCCAACAAAGAATAGGTGTGATCCTGCATCGCCCTTGCTCATGCTGCACCATAGAGTCACTTGCCAAGCTGTCTGGCGCGCTGCTTCGACCGGGAATCCTATCATGGATGTGTTCACCCATGCTCTCCTTGACTGCTTTCCCCGAAGAGCGAGGACACATCGTCAGAACTGGGTCCTGCAAGTCACAGATCAACGTGCTGATATTTTGCAGCTTCCGTGCCCAACCAACCTCGCTTGCAGCGCCGCACACACACGCCAAATTCAGTGAATGTCAATGCCACATCTGTGACAAGTCACTCTGGGACGGACTCTCTCAGAGGGACGCAAAAACGGACAGCGAATGCAGCGCATCGAGGAAACCTCTCCAACCACGGCTACCGAAACGCGCTCTTCCTACGGGGCTTTAGGCATGCTGCTGGGACAGTCCTGGAGCATTCGCAGAGGTCTGCTCGAAGAGTGCCGGTGCGGACGGTCCTGTTCGGCGTAATTGCGATAAAATAATTACCAGGTTCTGGAATTCTTGAACTGAACGCAAAGTCTTGACTTTGGCGTCACGACCCTATGCCCTATGGCTCTCGACCACTCAACTTCATCGCGCTCTCCTGCCGCACCGGTGCCGGAGGTAGCAGGGTCGGCTGTTGCTCCTGAAGCATGTGGTGAAGAGGGTGCGTTTGTTGAGACAAGTCTGAGTCTTAGCGTCTTAGCTTTCGAGCTTTCGCATGTTGACAAGTTTCGCCGCGGACGGTCTCGTATTGCAGAGTTCCCGAATCTAGTCACGTGCTTGCGCGATGACTTGCAGAAAGTTGGTTGGGAATGCGATGCAGAGTTTAGTTGCACAGATAGTGACGGCAGAAGTTTCCATATGAAACAGCATGCGACACATCCTTCGGTTGCTGACGTCTCCTTGGCTTGGAGCTGTAGCTGCAATTCATGTCACAGAAAAGAACTGACGGCTTTGGAAACGCTTGAACCTGATCACTCTCGCCTCATGAGAGAGGTTTCTTGGAGGCCCAAACTGTTGGTGAAGCTTTTATGCAGACCAAATTGGCAAGTTTTTGGTAGTGTCAGTGGTGCAACATGTTCGTTTTGCCAGTGCGAAGACAGCCTCACCCACCGGTCTCAAAAGGTGTCAAGCCTTGCAGTATGCGAGAGAAGGACACCTTGTGATGCGGTGCATGTGGCCTGTCATTCCAGACTCAGCATGCTTCTATGGCCTCTAGCCTGAACTGCCTCTATACAGATTTGTACAAGGTCATCTTGATAGCGTAAGCTTCGCTGTAATATATCACGTGTTTAGTGAAACTCCTGTTGCACTTTCCGCTGACGACTCGTGTTTTCATCCGAAGTTTTGGATGATTCGGTCAGCAGCTTCGGCAGTTGTTTTGTCGCAAGGATCCTGGGATCATGATATAGTTTGGAGGGCATTGTGCCGTCAGGTGGTCAGCGTGCTGCTTGTGCTGAGATTTTGGCTGCTGCTGTTGCGTGTTCCGCGTTTCGACGGCCCAGTATCTACTCTGACTCTAAATAATATGTCAGTTCAGGTATAGCTCGTGTCATCCTTCAGCAGCTAAGGCAGGGTGTAACTCCCCAGCTGTCTCAAAAAATCTTGGACTGCCGGTTGTTTTTCGTGAAACCTGTCCGCAGGGCTGGCTTGTAGAACTTGGGCGTCGTAAAACCCAAAGCCCATCAGGATTGGAAGCAACTTCAGGAAGTTGAGCGGTGCCTCGCCTGGCTTAACGGGGTAGCTGATATGATTGGAAAGTCTACAGCTCGTCAGTTTAGGCACGTTCTTCCGGCAGTCAGTTGGTACAAACCTTGGAATGTTGAAGTAACTATGCGTTGCCATTCTGACATTGCAAGGTGCACAGTTCATGATTCAAATTCTAAGCCTGAAGTTCAGGTTCCGGCGTCTGTTACACTTAATGCGTCAAGTTTTGCAGAGTATTGGAAACCACCTTCTGTTCAAGTACACGGATGCGAATATTCTTCCCATCCGAAGTGCTTGGCGACACCTGCAGCCGGAAACGATGCGTTTCAGGATGCATCTTGGCTTGAATTTATGTCGTTCTGTGTGTGGAGCACGACCTGCAGTATTCCCGATCTGCGTTACTCGTGCCTGTGGAACCTACGACTGTACAGTTGTTTAACACTTTCAGAAACTGTAGATTCCGTGTTCAGGCGAGATTTCAAAAAGCGCCTTGTACCACATGTCAAAATCAAAAGGACTGCTTCACCGCAAAGCAGAGTTGGTCGCAGCGCACACCCGGCTTGACAAGCAGGGCCATATTGTGAGTGATGTTGCTTCCACGCTGCTTTCGTTGACCACAAAGACATCGGCAAAGAGGCAAAGCATGTGATTCCGATCTGACTTGCAAGTTACTAACTAATCCAGTTTTAGTTCAAGTTCGCTGTGAGGAATGCGTTTCGTTGATGTTGGCTCGTTAAACTTGGTGTGTCAACTTCGTCGAAGTGTTGTCCGAGATACTGTACAAAAGGCATCGAGCCGCATCGCAAGCCTTGTTGCCTGTGGACCGACCGACCACACAAGTCCGGATGAAAAAGGTATTGAGTTGGGGAACCTGCAAGCATAGATTTGGGGGTCCTACTGCCGCAATGCCACTTCGATCCATGTTTCAGCATTGCACTTCAGCGAAACTATGAAGCTCTGATATGGTTCTGGACACAACAAAGCATCCAGCTTCCAGCGCGCGACCAACTACGCTCTCCTTGACTACTTTCCCCGAAGAGCGAGGACACGTCGGCACAACTGGGTCCTGCAAGTCACCAATCCACTTGCAGATGATTTGCAGCTAACGGCACCATGCCCAACCAACCCCGCTTGCGGCGCCGCACACCGTCATGCCGAATTCACAGACTGCCAATTGCCACATCTGTGACAAGTCTGGGACGGACTCTCTCAGAGGGACGCAAAAACGGACAGCGAATGCAGCGCATCGAGGAAACCTCTCCAACCACGGCTACCGAAACGCGCACTTCCTACAAGGCTTTAGGCATGCTGCTGGGACAGTCCTGGAGCATTCGGAGAGGTCTGCTCGAAGAGTGCAGGTGTGGACGGTCCTATTCGGTGTAATTGCAACAGATTTCCACCAAACTGAAGATGAAAGGTATTTTGCCAGTGCCGGACGTCATCAAACTCAGTGCACAACCTCATGCCCAAATCTGGTTCGGTGACGGGTCTGGATGCGGCCGACACAAAAAAACAGGGTTAGCACAAACTTGCAGCACATACGACATGTCGCGGAAATGTGGCAAGCCTCAGCTGTTGAGCCACATCGCTTCCTACAAGCCTTTCGGTGTCTGCTGAATTGACAGTCCTGGAGCACTGGCGGCGGGCTGCTTGGATGGTGCGGACTTGTCGGGTCCTAGTGTACAGTCGTGAGGTTCACGTACTCGACATCTTGACTTTGGTGTCACTGCTCTGTGACTCTCGACCACATCGCTGTGCGATGTGCGCGAAACCTCTCCTGTAGCACTGGTCGCGGACGAAGCGGATTCGTCTTCCTCCCCTGCAGCATGGGCGGGAGAGCTCCCCAGACAGAGTCGCCGTCGCACGGTCTCGCATGTCTTGCCTTTTGCATCTTCTTCGGCAACCCAGTCGAGCACGGCCCGAGACTTGGCCTAGGCTAAATCTCACAGACAAGAAACGCCCGACCCGCAGCGCTAGGTTACTCTCGCCCAGGCCCAGATGGGCTCAAAGACCACTCCCCCCAAACAACACAAACCACAGCCTCTCAGGCCCAGATTTGCCGAGGCACCACGATCCCATCCAAGCGATTTTGCCTCTTGCCCTTCGCAACTTGGAGTGCGCGCTGGAGAGTGCTGACACGTTCCTGCAGGACCTGTCCAAGAACTCCAGCTTTGAATCTTCTGCCCTCTGGGTGAGAGATAGCTGCGTCGTGACACACTTCGAGTTTTGGGCTGCCCTAAGACCTAATCAGAGGAAGGCGCATCTGGAACACTTGATTTATTCTTGTAGAGAGACCAGCACAGTCCACGGAGTCAGAGAGCCTCCTCCGTAGCCTTAGCAACCCGTACCTGGGCTTCTGCAGCATGCCGCCTTTCCTGCAGGGGCAAGCAGTTGCTTTTTGCAAGCTGACAGTTACCGTTGTGTATATGATACTACATGACGGTGATATCGTGACTGTGATGCTCGCCTCTGCTGCTTTCAAAGATGCCTCTGTCACGCGAAGACGCTCCTGGGTGGGACTCACTGCGCGGCACTGCACTGCCTAAAGCAAAACGTCGCCGTCGGCAGCACACGCACACACACACACACACACACACGGACATGCAAGCGTATCCGGTCTGCTTTTGCAAACCTTTGGTGGGACGGGGTACCCCGGAATGCCGCCCAGTGGCGGTTTTCTCCGCAAGCTCCCTCTTGGCATGTTGCAGCTCCTGTCTCTTCTGACAGATGCGGCTGTTCCGTGAACTCTAAACTGCACATGGTGAAGTCGCTTCAAGCTCGGCCCAGCCCCGCCTCAGAAGCAACGTTGCTGGTCTGGGCGGAGTCCGGTGCTTGCAGCCTCTCCTGGAAAACAGAGACTGCCACGCGGGTCAGGTCCTTTGATTGTCGTTCAGGTTCCGCTCTACACTCAGTTCCGGTCTGCTAGAATCTGCTAGAACTTCACAGAAGGCATAACATGCAGTGGATGTTGAACGGATGTCCGTAGCCCGCCTCTGCTGCTTTCAGTGATGCCTCTGTGGCCGCGAGACGCTCCTGGGACTCACTGCACGGCACTGCTTAAAGCAGAATGTCGCCGTCGGCAGGCCGCTATTTTCATTTTCGTCCGGCACATGTGCGACCACACTCGTATCAACTCGTATCCGGATTCAAGCTTTGACGAACGGAACCTTTGGTGGGACGGGGTACCCCGGAATGCCGCCCAGTGGCAGTTTTCTCCGCAAGCTCCTTCTTGGCATGTTGCAGCTCCTGTCTCTTCTGACAGATGCGGCTGTTCCGTGAACTCTAAACTGCACATGGTGAAGTCGCTTCAAGCTCGGCCCAGCCCCGCCTCAGAAGCAACGTTGCTGGTCTGGGCGGAGTCCGGTGCTTGCAGCCTCTCCTGGAAAACAGAGACTGCCACGCGGGTCAGGTCCTTTGATTGTCGTTCAGGTTCCGCTCTACACTCAGTTCCGGTCTGCTAGAATCTGCTAGAACTTCACAGAAGGCATAACATGCAGTGGATGTTGAACGGATGTCCGTAGCCCGCCTCTGCTGCTTTCAGTGATGCCTCTGTGGCCGCGAGACGCTCCTGGGACTCACTGCACGGCACTGCTTAAAGCAGAATGTCGCCGTCGGCAGGCCGCTATTTTCATTTTCGTCCGGCACATGTGCGACCACACTCGTATCAACTCGTATCCGGATTCAAGCTTTGACGAACGGAACCTTTGGTGGGACGGGGTACCCCGGAATGCCGCCCAGTGGCAGTTTTCTCCGCAAGCTCCTTCTTGGCATGTTGCAGCTCCTGTCTCTTCTGACAGATGCGGCTGTTCCGTGAACTCTAAACTGCACATGGTGAAGTCGCTTCAAGCTCGGCCCAGCCCCGCCTCAGAAGCAACGTTGCTGGTCTGGGCGGAGTCCGGTGCTTGCAGCCTCTCCTGGAAAACAGAGACTGCCACGCGGGTCAGGTCCTTTGATTGTCGTTCAGGTTCCGCTCTACACTCAGTTCAGGTCACACCCATGCCAACTGCTAGAATCTAGAATCTGCTGTAGAACTTCACAGAAGGCATAACATGCAGTGGATGTTGAACGGATGTCCGTAGCCCGCCTCTGCTGCTTTCAGTGATGCCTCTGTGGCCGCGAGACGCTCCTGGGACTCACTGCACGGCACTGCTTAAAGCAGAATGTCGCCGTCGGCAGGCCGCTATTTTCATTTTCGTCCGGCACATGTGCGACCACACTCGTATCAACTCGTATCCGGATTCAAGCTTTGACGAACGGAACCTTTGGTGGGACGGGGTACCCCGGAATGCCGCCCAGTGGCAGTTTTCTCCGCAAGCTCCTTCTTGGCATGTTGCAGCTCCTGTCTCTTCTGACAGATGCGGCTGTTCCGTGAACTCTAAACTGCACATGGTGAAGTCGCTTCAAGCTCGGCCCAGCCCCGCCTCAGAAGCAACGTTGCTGGTCTGGGCGGAGTCCGGTGCTTGCAGCCTCTCCTGGAAAACAGAGACTGCCACGCGGGTCAGGTCCTTTGATTGTCGTTCAGGTTCCGCTCTACACTCAGTTCAGGTCACACCCATGCCAACTGCTAGAATCTAGAATCTGCTGTAGAACTTCACAGAAGGCATAACATGCAGTGGATGTTGAACGGATGTCCGTAGCCCGCCTCTGCTGCTTTCAGTGATGCCTCTGTGGCCGCGAGACGCTCCTGGGACTCACTGCACGGCACTGCTTAAAGCAGAATGTCGCCGTCGGCAGGCCGCTATTTTCATTTTCGTCCGGCACATGTGCGACCACACTCGTATCAACTCGTATCCGGATTCAAGCTTTGACGAACGGAACCTTTGGTGGGACGGGGTACCCCGGAATGCCGCCCAGTGGCGGTTTTCTCCGCAAGCTCCCTCTTGGCATGTTGCAGCTCCTGTCTCTTCTGACAGATGCGGCTGTTCCGTGAACTCTAAACTGCACAATGGTGAAGTCGCTCCGAGCTCGGCCCAGCCCCGCCTCAGAAGCAACGTTGCTGGTCTGGGCGGAGTCCGGTGCTTGCAGCCTCTCCTGGAAAACAGAGACTGCCACGCGGGTCGGGTCCTTTGATTGTCGTTCAGGTTCCACTCTACACTCAGTTCCGGTCTGCTAGAATCTGCTAGAACTTCACAGAAGGCATAACATGCAGTGGATGTTGAACGGATGTCCGTTGCCCGCCTCTGCTGCTTTCAGTGATGCCTCTGTGGCCGCGAGACGCTCCTGGGACTCACTGCACGGCACTGCTTAAAGCAGAATGTCGCCGTCGGCAGGCCGCTATTTTCATTTTCGTCCGGCACATGTGCGACCACACTCGTATCAACTCGTATCCGGATTCAAGCTTTGACGAACGGAACCTTTGGTGGGACGGGGTACCCCGGAATGCCGCCCAGTGGCAGTTTTCTCCGCAAGCTCCTTCTTGGCATGTTGCAGCTCCTGTCTCTTCTGACAGATGCGGCTGTTCCATGAACTCTAAACTGCACATGGTGAAGTCGCTCCAAGCTCGGCCCAGCCCCGCCTCAGAAGCAACGTTGCTGGTCTGGGCGGAGTCCGGTGCTTGCAGCCTCTCCTGGAAAACAGAGACTGCCACGCGGGTCAGGTCCTTTGATTGTCGTTCAGGTTCCGCTCTACACTCAGTTCCGGTCTGCTAGAATCTGCTAGAACTTCACAGAAGGCATAACATGCGGTGAATGTTGAACGGATGTCCGTAGCCCGCCTCTGCTGCTTTCAGTGATTCCTCTGTGGCCGCGAGACGCTCCTGGCACGGACCCCAATGTGCGGCACTGCCTAAAGCCGCTCGGGAGCTTTGATCATATTTGTGTTCGATTTGATCGGCTCAAGACGCCACATGACGCCAGAGGAGCTTTCGCCTAAACTGGTATGGCAAATGCGGCCAGGTGGCCGACTTCTCTGCCAGCTCGCCCTTCGCTGTTCGCAGCTCCTGTCGCTGTGAGTTTTGGGTAGGGGCTGCCTTTGCGTGCAGCAGATAGAATGACACATGCACTGATTTGCTGTTCTTGCATGTGGCGAAGGTGTCGGACAATCGAAGAGTTTTCTGAGTGGAACGGGCAAATCTTCCCACCCAATAATACAATATCCCGTGCTGTTCCTCGGAGGCCAGGCGAAGCTCAAAACTGTGCGCGAATTCTACCAGGAAGATGTGCAATCGTTAGTTGCGAGCTCGCCAAAGTTGTGGCTGACGTGCAGCGCAACGACCAGTGTCGACATGATTTTGCGCGTTCGACTGCGTCGTTATCGTCGTCAAAGGGCAAGCTGCGGGCGGCCAACCATGCTGACTTTGGTTTTACAAGTCGAGACGTCTGAGCGCATTTTCCCCACACACGAGCAGCCAGAAGGCCTGCAAAAAGGCAACCAAGCCATCGCACCACAAAGTGTTCAGCACAGAGCCAGGTCGACAGTCACACCCGTTGGGGTTGGAAGCATCCTCCGTGCTCGTGCTCGCATCAGACACTCGAGCTCTCGGCGCCTCGGATCCCAGAAAGCCTTCGGCCTCTGCAAATGTCGATACCCTGGGACCTTGTCCGGAACTCCAAACCCCTATGTTGGCCCCGACTCAACACCCAGCTACAGTAGCCTGGCCATCCTGGCCGGACCACAAACATCAGTCTCATGGCCTGCTGGAGAGCGCCTTGACCCTTCCCAAAGAGGCCATGGCCGCGAACCTGTTCTCCCACAGAATCGGGGAGTGTTGTTGCTTCAGGGCTGGGTCTTGTTGGATTCAGTCGAGGACCCGGCATGCCGCAGGACGAGACTGTGAAAGGAACTTGGAGCTAGAGAGGGGAAGCAAGAGCATTCACTTTAGTTAGTACTTTGAGTGAGGTGGTAATTGCACTGAAAGGTTTTGTGAAACCATGACTTGTGAGCCAATCAAAAGCACAAGATTCAATAAGACTTTTTAAAAGGGTGAAAAACAAGGTGACATGAACAATGGTGGGAGAGGGGGAGAGGGGGAGAGGGGGAGAGGGGGAGAGGGAGAGGGGGAGGTAAAAAACGTTTGACAAGGGCCACATGGGACACATCATGCTTGAGGCAAAGTCAATTTCAACAGCACCAGACATCTTACGCCCTACATGCAGGTCGGGCAACCCTTCAGCCATTGCTGCTTGCACAAGGATGCCCACAAACCGCATCACTTCCTCCTGTTAAAGCATATACCGCTGAAACCCAGACCCCCTGCATTCCAAGGGGCATGTTTTGCTCTCAATTTTTCGCGTGCTGCGCGAAGCCCCAGCACGAGATTTTGGGTCATGGTGTTGGAAACTTTCGTTCCCTTGATCTCTCAAGTCTGCGGTGCAGAGAGCACAGATCCCGATGAGACATGAAACTCAAGAGGCGAGCATCTTCAAGTCGCCCAGCGCAGCTTCGCTTCGGCTCGGGCTGATGGAAAGAAGTCTTTTGGGCTCCGCATGCTCGCAGCTGGACATTTCCTCCAGCTTTCAAGGTCCCGAAACATGACAAGAAATGCAGCCAGCGCACCGCATCTCGCATTACTTAGTATGGAGGTTGACACTTGCATCGCGGCCTACATCGGAAAAATCTGCTGGCCGAACCCATCTTGCAGTCAGATTCAAATTTCAGGGTCAGGCAGCGTGGGGCAGGTGCTCTGGCTAACGAGAACGTGCCCAGGTACACACCCGGGGGAAAACCTCACCATGAAGTGTCAAAGTGAGGAGTGTTGTGACATTTCTTGTTTGACTTGATCCGGCATGTCACATTTCGACTGCCCGAACTACGCAAGCTTCATCAACAGCACTCGTTTCTGAACCGTTCAGCTTAGCTCCAGCACCTCAGAGCTGCCAGCGGAAGTGGCATGGTAGCCATTGCCTTGCGAAGTCAAAGGCGACGCAACCCACCCCGACCGACCCTCACAGCCACGGTTGCGGGCGAGATGCTCCGTGGCAGCGGCGGCCGTCCTTTTCGGCTCCCGCTTGGCCGCACCGGCGACTTTGGGGGTGATGTTGGCCTCTGCGGGGACTGTGGAGAGGGCGATGGGGACGCAGTGATCTCGGAGACCTGCAAGACCGGCAGCGTTTAAACGAGTACGCAGAAAACTGCACTGATTCGGCCTGCGGGCTTTTTCCAGACGGGGTCCTCCCGAGACATCTGCGGGGTTCGGAAGCCTCCGAATGCCTACGACACACGAAGCACTTGCTGCCTTGGCTCCGGAAGAGAGAAACCGAAGCCTGGGAAGCGCCGTCCGAAGGAAGAAGGAAGGGTCAAAATGCAAATCTCTCTCTTCATCTCCGTCGAAAGCTTGCGGACTGGCGGCTTTTCGGAGTCCTTACACGAACGTCGGGGGTAGCCGCCCGAGCCGCCTGGCAGGGGTGCAACGGCAACCGACCGAAGAGTGGAGGCCGTCCGGGGCCGTCGGCCGTCGTTTGGATCCCTTTCCCTTTTTGCGTCCCAGCGGCTGGACTTTGCTCTGCCCCCTTAGCGGCTCAGGGTGATCACAAAAACGCGACGAGCGCATGTGGCACTTGGCACTCTCAACGACGCCAAGCTGCAGTGCTCGGCGACCGGGCAATGCCAGGCCTCAGCTTCCAGTGGCCCGGTGGCGTGATAGTAAAAAGGCATCTTAGAATCTTATGAGCAATAGAGTTGAGCCGTGCCGAAGGTTTCCTCTCAAGCTGAGGAGTGAACTGTGTGTATGTCTGATAGCGCTGCAGCAGCTGCCGAATGTCCATGCCGACCTGCAGGCTGCAACGACGCAACGACGCCGAGAGATCGATGGACCCGGGGGATCCCGTGAGACAGAGCTACGTGCCGTCCTCCCGAGCAGTGGAGGCTCCGGAAGGGTGGCGCTGGCGGAGCGCTCGCAGAGGGTTCCCTGCCAGCGTCTCGCCACCTGCGACCGGCCCCAAGTTCGACACGTCCTCTGACACCATTTCTCTAATGAACTAATAACTCTAATGCAGACGCTCGATCGTCACACTGCCGAGCCACAGGTAAGGTCGCTGGCAGAGTCTGCTGGCAGCATATCCTTTCTCCACACCACAGGCATTATGGAGATGGCTGGCGGCTTAATGGCAAAAGGACAACCGAGCAAATGCACCTGCGTGTGAACGTCTGTAAAGGGTCCCCCCGGCCCTATGGCAGCCCGCCCCATCACACTGAAGCTCAACGCCTAAGCCGTTCTGCAACAGGCTACCGTGTTTGCAAACTAGGTTCCTCGAAGCGTAGCCGCGAGTTCGAGGCAGTCGCTGGCCGAAAACCCTCTTGGTTCTCCGCCGTCTTTGTCCTCCCACAAATGTTCTTTTCGCTCCGCTTGCGCTCCGCATGCGCTGCATGGCAGGGGATCCGGCTCTCCTTCGCGGCAGCTGCACGCCGAAGCCGCCTGAGGCTCCCGAAGGACCCGACCCGGCAAAGGCCGGTCGGGCTGTGAAGGCGTGGCCTTTCAACTGTCTCCTGCTAGGAGGGCAGGCGCAGGATTCGTCAGGATTCCAGGCATCTTTGAAAAGACGTGATGAAAGCAGGCCGCCACAGGCAAGAGATCCGCTCCTGGCCCGCTTCAGCTGCTCGAGAATAAGCTCGGTCTCGTCTGGCTCGCCGGCAAAAGGAACTTTGCCCTGAATCTCCTTGTGCGTTCTCTCTGTTGCCCTGCTTGGCTCTAAGCACCACGGCTCAGGCCCGGTTTCTTTGTAGGCAAGCGGCTGCACGCCTGTCGGCAAAGCCCGCAAGCAGCAGGGGATGCCTTTCAAGGCGCTATCCGAGGCCATCTGTATCAACCATCGTCGGATGTCACCACGTGCTCTGGGAGCCAAAGTCTTCGGTAGGGCCGCTGCTGCGGCTCTTGCTCGTCTTCATCGGCACTGCCCAAGTCTCTGCCCTCCTCCGCATGTCCACAGGCACATGACAAGTCACAGTCGTCCCTTGCAAGACGACAGAAAACGCCTCTGGCCTCTGGCTCACTTGCTGGAGCTTCGGTGCCGCGACTTGGGAAATTCTCATCCTCAGCTCTCCGAGGAAACTCTGAGAATCAAAAGGCTGCGCTTCCAGTGCCAGTCAGTTAGTCCAGGTGTCCAAAGGGTCGTCGACATCTGAATCCACGCCTTGATGGGCACAGGTACTGGCAATGAGGCAAGGCGGAGGTTCTCGCTGAAAATAACCAGTGGAATTCTGGCACTCTGGTGCATGCAGCCGCAAGCATCCAAGCCGAGATGCACTCAAAGGATCGTGGTATTGAGCTTATCCTTAGCTACAAGCTGCGCGAGTAACCTGCAACACCGCAGGCACCACTTCTCAAAACCACTGCGAGGTGTCAGTGCTCTTTCAGCTACAATAGCCAGGCATCTTCGTCCGGAGATCGTCTAGAACCTCCAGATTCGGAAGCAGCTCGATCACCCGATCACGCGTCAGGGCACCTGCCCTCAGCTTGTCCAAAATGCTGGAAAGAGTCGTTGGCTTCAGAACACAGCTGCCCAGCGGTCACAAGGAGATGGTTTGAGGCCGAGAGTCTTGCAGGAGCTCCGATAAACAGGATTGCCTGCCAAGTTCAGCTCTCCTGAGTTGTTTCGAAAGGGAGTCCAAGTCCAAGCTCTTCCTGATGGCCCCGAATCTTTGCTCTCCAAGCGTCGCAGGTGCGAGCAGCTGCCCAATGCTCCTGAAAATCGGCGTTGCCAATGCTGCTTCGTGAAGCTCCCGTCCTACTCGATGCTGGCCAGGTGGCGTATATCCTCCTCGTCGGCTATGGCATTGCCCTCAAGATCCAAAACCTCCAACTGCTCGCACCCACTGAGAGGCGTCGCATCCTAAGAATCGACGATGAAAATCATGACACTCGCCGGGCAACATTGCAGATCTCTCCCAAGATTTGCCGTCAGCTTCTGCAACATGTGCAAAGGAGCTACGCTGCTGATGCAGACATGCCACAACCACGTCATTAAAGGACAGATAGAGCTCCCTGTCCACACATGCAAATGCAAGCATGTCATGTCCGTGGAACACACTTGTGAAGTCCCCGTGCCTGAGGGACGGGAGCAGGGCTGAGGCCCCACCCAAGTCCTGCAAACCGCAGCGGCTCATCCAGAGCACCTCCAAGTGCTTCAGCCCGGAGCCTCCGCAGGAAAGCCACGCGGCAAAGCGATGCATGGGCTCTGCAAGGAGATGCTGCACGTGCCTAAGTCCCGAAGGCTGAGCACGCTCGAAGGATCTGTGAGCTTGAGCTGCCGGAGCTTCGGCAGATGTTCCCCGAGGAGCTCGAGGCTCTGCGTTGCAGAATCCACCTGCCCATGTCAAGACCATAGAAAGGCTGCGCTCTTCGGGCTCAACTCAAACCGTTTGTTGCAGAAGGCACTGGAAGAAAGACGAAAGCAGACCATGACTCTGCAACTCTACACTCTAGTCCTAAGTTCTATCCTAAGTTCTAACCTAGATGAAAAACCGCAAGGCCGAAAGTCGCTTACAGAATCATTCACTATCCCTGAAAACTCAATTTTCCGTCAAGAGCCGTTGTAAATGACCTGCAGCCATACCGGAAATACTCCAGCGCATGTGAGTCGCTCGGAACTGTGTCGCTTGTTCACTGTTTCTCACAGTTAAGCGCACACAGCCCTATCTGTAAATGTTGCTGTTCCAGACAATGCGGCGTAGTCGGTGTATGAGGAAGACGTATGCCAGCATTTGGCGAAGTGTTTCAAGTTGCTCTCCACATTTTTGGTGGAGCTTCTCCAAGATCCTGTTTGTTCGTCGTGCAAGATGTCGACACACACTCACACACAGAGGCATTAGCTACATACATATATACATATACATGTGTATATGTATATACATGTACACACTTATACATATATATATATATGCAAATATAGATATATATATATATATATGCATGGAGAGCAGATTGCTGTGGGGCCTGGGCTTTTGCAGACCCACCTTTTGTGTCATACTTACATTCAGACAACCTCAAGCACTTAAAGGGTGCACGCAGCATTACACCACAAAGTCCCCCCTTCTATTCCTTGGCAATGTATTCAAGGTCAGGTTTAGCCTGTGTATAGTATTGTATAGTCAGACGTCAACGAGTACGACACTGCGGCATTGACTGGCTACGTATTCAAAGTTTTCCCACAACAACCATCACAGGCAGGAAACACCATAATACCGTGTATTCTGTTCTTCATCAAACCAAGTCTTGGGATAGGCCACATAGACTCGACATGTCCGACACGGAGCCGCACATCTTAATTATCCCTGCAAGGCTCTTCATCCGATCAAGCCACTCCACCCAAGACCAGAACCAACGCATCATCT